TAAGGCAAAGATGTAACTAAAACTTAATTTTCTCACAGGTATTAGAAACAAATTAAAAATTTAGAAAGACCAGCCTAGGCAACACAACAAGACCCTGACTCTACAAAAAAATTGTTTAAATTATCCAGGCATAGTGGCACCTATAGTCCCAGCTACTCAGGAGGCCGAAGTGGGAGGATCACTTGAGCCTGGGAGGCTGAGGCTGCAATGAGCTATGATCATGCCTCTGCGCTCCAACCTGGATGGTAGAGTAAAACCTCACCTCAAAAAAAAAAAATTTTGAAACAAAAGAAAGCAAATGAAATCTTAAAAAATACACATAAGGGGAAAAAGTGCCAGTGACTCTCAGGGCCAGGTCCCCACCAAGTGGCCCTGACCCTGGACCTGACACCCCCACCCAGGCCACCATCAGGTGATGATCCAGGGAGGGACGGTTAAAAGTCAGGGTTGCATGCACACGGGGGTACTCTCCCCACTGGGAATCAGGCCAAGATGGAGCTGCCTCCCACCAGTTTTGGGCTCAGTCAGAAGCAGCAGCAAATGGAACACGGAGCCAAGCAAGAGACGGAACATGGGTCCGTCGGGGCTGCTCCTGTGTGGCAGTGAATGGTCACAAAGCTGACCCAGTCACCTGAGGGGGGGTCACATGCAGCTATCCATTTGTAAGCGTTCAGGCATCCAGGCCAGAATGGCTGCTGACCTATGAGTTGCGCAGGATAAACGTGGGTTTACCTTCTGAATGAGCCTGCTGAAACTGCAGGAGAGCACCAAACCAGCCTCCTGGAGGCCCTGAGGTCAAGACTCCCACCTCCAGCCCCAGAAGGTACAGCCCCAGGTTTACCCTGCCTACGACCCTCCTGCTTAATTGCTACCAATACGACATAGGGGAATAGTGAAATTGCAACATGTGGCACCTGGCTGAGTTGTCTCCTCAACAGCCCAAGGAGGATGGTCATGTGATACACCCCCTTGCTTTGCTCCCAGTCACACCCTGCCACCTTCTGCACCTTAGTCCTCAGCCTGGGGTCCCACCTGTGAGCCTGGGTCCCCATTTGTCTCTTTAGTCCCTCTAGCGAGCCCCACATCTCCACCAGGACCCTCACAGGTGCCTTCAAACCACCAACTCCAGCTCCCCCAGCACCTGCACCACATCCAGGACAGAGCCTCACAGTGCAACTCTGGGCATCTCCCAAGTGCTCTCCCCGCTGCCCTCAACTAAGTTGAGGAAGTGCCACATCTAACAGGGCACTTCCACCCTGACTACCTGAAGTGCACACACCATGCTGTGGCCCAGGAGCCACATTGTTAAACAAAAACAGTTAACACCACTTGCTTCTGGTGGCTTCCTGTGACACTTGGTCCAGAACCAGAACCTGGACTACAACTATCACCTGCCATCTCACTGTGCACCCACCTCTGGCCTTGGCCTCCACACCCTCCAGCTGATGGTCACACTGGCTCCTGGCATACACCAACGTTCCCTCCTGACCCCCTCAGAAATCCCGTCCCATTCCTCTACACAGCACCTGCTGCTCTGTGGTTTCCACAGCACACACCAGGATCTGCAGCTGGGTCACGCATCCTGCGTTTACCTCCTCAGACATGACTGTCCTGTCCTCAAACATGCCTCCACCCAGCCTGCTACCTGGCACCAGAGCTCTCTCAAAGCATTTCTGCTAAGGAAGCAACCGCCCTTCCACTGCCCTGGAACACCCACTGCTTCTGACCCACCCACGTACTTTTGAGCACTGTTTTAATCTTGGTCATCATCGGCTGCACACTCGTCTCTCCATCGGACGGATGGTCGCTGTCTCCACCATATTTTTCCTCTGTTCGCCTCTTTTTGGGGGCACAAAGACCTTCTTCCAGCAGAGCATCCACATCGTTGTCAAAGTCATCCTGCAAAACATGCTGTTGAGACACCAGAGCCCCTGGCGCCCATGCTCCTGCACCAGGAGAGCTCAACAGCATTCCTGAGAACACACACAGAAAGGAGGTGCTCTCAGGGGGCCTAGATGTGCCCATAGGGTGCATGATCATCTGAAAAGCAAACGGGATGAAGCTACCAGCTGACACCAACACACCTGGTACAGGGGCACACACCACCAAGGAGCACGTCTCAGCAGCACCTGCCACCTCAGACACTGGATCAGGGGTGCAAGGCCTACCCATCGGCCAAATTTTTCATTAGGAAACTTTAAAAATCTGGACTTCTTACATCATTATCTTCTCCACATTAACATTATTCCACCTCAGAGGGGATTTTGGTTTTGTGTTTTTAATTTCCCTATCAAAAAAATGCCACAATTTCCAAATCTCTTTGGGTTTTGCTAAGAGCCCTCTAGAGAAGGGGCTGCCAACATACCTCGTAGGGGAAATTCAAGGCCTCTTCGTCCACTCTGTCTCTCTGAACGATTGCTTTAGCCGTGAACCCGCCTGCTCCTTCTTCATCTAGCTCCAAATTGTCAGTAAAATCTTCTAACTCATCGAGCACTGCATACTCCACTCTCTTTTCCTGATCCAGCTCATTCTCCTCATCCTTCTTATCAGCACTCTCACCCCCTACGCCTACCCCATCACCAACACTCCCGCCAAAGGGACAAGCATGCACGTCCCCACTGACAGGGCTAAGGAGCAGACCGCACTCCGCCCGCACGTCGCGCTCCGCTCCTGTGTACAGCACCTTCCTGTCCTTACTCCTGCAGCTCTCGGTAAAGCTCACGCTAATCTTTACATCCTTAAGCAACTTAAGGTCAGGGGAGAACTTCCGGACCGCAGGTGCGTGCCGAGCGGTGCGCGGGCTGTGGCCACTACAGTTCGGGTCTATGAGGAGGCGGCCCTTAGAGAAGGATCCTTTGGAGAGAAGAGAAGCTCCGTAGAAGTTGAAGGGGTCCTCGGCAGGGAGTTCGGACTGTCCATCACCACCAGAGCCAACGTCCATTACCTCTGCACCACTGGACGTTTGCAGGGGAGGTGGTGGAGACTGCTCACGTGGCAGCGCTTGGAAGGGGCCAGCTCGGCTCTCCATCACCGCTTCTCCTGCGGGCCCACACGGGAGCGGAGAGGGACTCTCATCTGTCTCCATATTAAAAGCGCTTAAGACTAGTTTACAAGATCAGAGTTTTACAAGCCCTCACATAAATCTACACGGCTAACATGCACAAGTCCGCTGAGACCCGGGCGCATCCTGCCGCGCTGCGCGCTGGCGGCTTAGTCAAGCTGGCCACATTGCTCTTTTCATTAATGTAGACAGCTTTTAGAACCACTGCCTCAATTATTGGAAATCACAATGCACTCAGCTTAAGTGACTGGAGACTAAGCGAGTCTGTCTTCATGCCGGAGTGGCACCTTTCTTCTTCTACCTGCAAAGAAATTTAAAAATAACGTCACAAAATGACAGAAACCTTCCACTTCCCTGGTACCAAGTTAAAATCCAAGCACTATTAACAGCATAGTAAAGGGCTTAAAATAATATTCCCTAAGAGGACCTTTTAGGCATCAGAACAAACTAACCTTACTTTTTTTCTTCAGAACCTGAATTATAACTTAAATCCAAAGTTAAATATTTTGTTTACTGCCCACTTTAATTCCTACTTCAGACACACAAAAACAATATAATCATAAGGCTCAAAAAATATTTTTAAAATTTATACTAAACTCCACCACAGCATTCCTCTAACTCAGATAAGCAAGCATGCGGTGGGAGGCGCCCTTTCAGGAACACACAGAAGGCACGTGGCCTCCCTCAGGTCACCAGAGCACAGCAATCCACTCACCTGCAAGGGCTGGGTCAGTCAGAGGGTGAGCGCGAGACCCTCAGCTCAACTCTGCGGCACTAGGGGCCTCAGAGGCATGGCCAGGCGCTCTGCTACCCAGGGACCCCAGGGCTCTCCTGGGCCCACAGGATAGCACGTGGACGGGGACAGTGATGCAGCGTGCTGAGGTCACCAGAGGTGGCAGCATAGTTCTGTTCCAGATGGAGGAGAGGGGTGGGTGGCTGTGGGGATGGGACCTGCCAGGATTTGGGGTAGGGAGCCACAAGAGACAGCTGGAGCCAAGGCACAGAGAGGCCTGGGTGCCATCTGCAGCCCACTCCACCCTGGAGACAATAAGGAGCCACTGAGGGTGAAGCAACTCTTCTGCCACAATTAGGTTCCTACTTGAGAAAGGAGACTGACAGCTGTGCCAGGCAGAAGCAACTGCACCCAAGGCACAGGGACAGTCCTCTAGGCCAGAGGACAAAGGTGTGAAAGAGGCCCTGGAAATGGGCCAAGAACAGTGTCACAGAACTGACCGCATTTGTTGACCCAATGGAATTGGACAGCAGAGAAAACAGGGAACTAAAGACAAGGAAGGACACCCAAATTCCAGCATGCAGGCGGGAGCCTGGCAAGGAGAACGGAGGGGACCTCCAGGCAGGCTCTGAAGGTGTTGAGGCTACAGCTCTAGAGCCATGCCTGGCCCAGAAACAGAAGGTCAGGACGTACTGAGGAAGTAGTCGCTAAATCCACAGGAGGAAGGCCATCCAGAGATGAGGGTTAAGGATGCAACTCTAGGAAGCCTCACTACAGAGGCAGCATGAAGGGATAACATGAAGCAGGGAAGGTGGGTCTGAGGGGGCAGCCAGAAAACCCAGGGGCCCAGAGGAGGGTCGGCATCAGAGCAGGAGGAGCACATGCAGACACACGCACATGCACACTCCCACAACGTGCACAGGAACACGCATGCATGCACACGCGTGCACATCCGTGCAGATGCACACATGCACGCGGCACTGCATGACATACATCCTCCCAAGATTCCCGGAAAGAACAGGAGACGCAGACATCACGCATTTAACAAGGGATAGGGCACGATGGCTGTACTTCAAAGGGGACATCACATGAAAACAAGAGACTAGTTTAGGTTTAATCAGTACACTTAACAACTATCCACTGACCACCTACTCCAAAGAACACACTACATGGATAAGAGACAAGGTCGCAGGGCTTGGACACACTGGCAGGGCAATGACCATCATGCTGTCACTCCATTTCCTGGATTCTAAGATGTCCTAACATTTCTGAATCCAGTGGGAATTTCTCACAGTACTTCCCCAAAGATGTGTCCATCAAAGGTGCTGAGGATCAAGGAAACAGTACAGAGCTAATAACCGACTATAAAGTGCCAAAGACGCTCAGGAGGCCGTGGGCAGCAGCCAAGCAGGCATGAGAAACATTAAGTTGGGTGAGTCCAATCTCCTGGCAACCAAGAAAGACCGTTTCAGAGAACAGACAGAGGGCTCAATGCGCCCAGTGCCACTGACTACAAAGAAGACCAGGACCAGATACCTCAGAATCTAGCAGTCCCATAGAGACCCTGGTGAATCAATCCATGAGTCTGGGACACAAAAAGCTACTTGAAGAAACCACAGTAGCAGGGAATTAGAGACCAACAATGGGATGAAATGGGGAAGCCTGCTACCACAGAAGGCAAAGAAGCAGCCACAGTAAGCTTTCCAAGCAAAGGTGCTAATAGGGGCTGAGCTGCAGCCCTAAGGAAATGCACACCGGGGAGGCCTGGCGCTGTGCAATCGAGTGAGTTCCTTGGGAAAGCAGGAAACCTGCCCAGCCCCAGAGCTCAGCGGTAGGCAGTCCTGGGCAAGTTTCTTAACTCCCCTCTGTAAGCTTTCTCCATTCATGGCGTACACACAGGCTATCCTAGATGCTGCAGACACAGGCGGACAAAACCCTGCTCCACAGAGCTCACATTTTAGCAAGAGAGATGGACCGCTAACAACTAAAATGAGCATGTACCCTGTCACATACCAATAGGTGTTCAAGCAAAAACAAAACAAGGAAAGCACTGAGGAAGAGGAGGCAGTTTTAGAAAAGGGGATCGGAGAAGGTCTCATGGCCTGCATCCACGTGAAGGCAGAGGAGTGAGGCAGGTGGGTAACAGGGCTGGGAGGAGTGGATGTTCCAGGTGACAGTGAGAAGAACAGCAGAGGGGCGGGGTCAGCAGTGTCGTGTGGTGGGATGAGGCAGTGTGCTGAGGGGACTTGACAGTGAGCCAGGTTCATGAGGGCAGATGGATCAGGGCTGGTCCTCCGAGGCTGCTGCCAGGACTTTGGCTCTTAGTGAGAGAGATGGACCACTGGACAGGAGGGCCCACACAAGTGGCATCCGCTGATTCCAGGATAGCAGTGGTGGCGAACCCTCAGGCAGGCCCTGTTCTAAGCACTTTAAGCATTTTAAGTCACGTAGTTCTCACACAGCACTGTGAAAAAGACAGGTTCACCCATGTGCTGAAGGTCACACAGCTAGGAAGTGGTAGAGCTGCTTTATAAGCAGGCAAGCGGCTTGCATCTACTGCCTCTGTTTTATACCTGCTTACTGTTTAAAAGAATCACTCCGTGTCCAGGCATGGTGGCTCATGCCTGTAATCCTAGCACTTTGGGAGGCTGAGGCAGGCAGATCATTTGAGGTCAGGAGTTCGAGACCAGCCTGGCCAACATGGTGAAACCCCATCTTTACTAAAAATACAAAAATCAGCCGGGTGTGGTGGTGGACGCCTGTAGTCCCATCTACTTGGGAGGCTGAGGCAGGAGAATCACTTAATCCCAGGAGGCAGAGGTTGCAGTGAACCAAGATCATACCACTGCACTCCAAACTGGGCTACAGAGCGAGATTCTGTCTCAAAAAATAAAAAATAAAAAAATAAGAATCATTCCGTGGGCCAGATATGGTGGCTCACGCCTGTAATCCCAGCACTTTGGGAGGCCGAGGCAGGCAGATCACGAGGTCAAGAGATAGAGACCATCCTGGCCAACATGTGAAACCCTGTCTCTACTAAAAGTACACACACACACACACACAAAAATTAGCCTGGTATGGTGGCACACGCCTGTGGTCCCAGCTACTCAGGAGGCTGAGGCGGAAGAATCGCTTGAACCCAGGAGGTGGAGGTTGCAGTGAGCCGAGATTGTGCCACTGCACTCCAGCCTGGCGACAGAGCAAGACTCCATCCCCAAGAAATAAAAAATTCACTCTGTGTCCAGAAAAATTTTAGGTGGAGGATGGGGAGTGAGGACCAAAGAGAATTAGAGGCTCACCAGGTAGCCTGGGCCAGGATGTTAACTTGGAGATGGTGAGAAATGGTCTGTGCCTAGAAATAGAAGGTGAGCTAACAGGGCCTCCTTAGAACTGCATGACGGTGTAAGAAAGAGAGGAATCAAAGGGACTTCAGACAGGCACAAAAAATGTTTTGGCATGGGTGAAGATTTGAGTTTCCTTTGGATATGGCTACTTGGCACCAAAGAAACACATGGAGAGGTGGAAGATGTGGCTAGAAGCAGCAGATGAGCTCAGAAGGGAGGCCAGGGCTGGAGCTGTGAAGATCTTAAGGAAAGCTGGCATTAAAGCCAGGAGGCTGGATGACATCACAAAGGAGGGGGCTACCACAGGAGAGTCTAAGGCTGGGCAAGTCAGCCAGAGGCTCATTTCCTACCCCAAGGTCACGGTGAGACTACAAAACCACCCCTGAGAGTACTCCACACAGTGCCTGGCCACAAAGGGCGCAAAGGGGAGCTCTCCGCCCTTAGGCTTTCCCCCTGCTCCTGCTGGCCAAACACCGGATGCAAACCCTGCCTTGCCAACAGGACCACCAGCCGGGAATGGGCTCACAGCAAGCTCCCTTTAGCACGGGGAGAAAACCCATACACTTGGACAGCACCCTTCCTCCTAGTCCACTTGCTGTGCTGGCTAACTGAGGCACTGGCTGTGACCGGCCAGCACCAATGCCAGCGCGGTGAGTGCTGCCTTTTGGTCAAGGGTCTCCCGCTGCAACCTCCCGCCCAATCCAGAGGCAGTATGACCTCATCCATTCCTTTTGTCATCCTCCAACAGGCCTCACAGCCCGCTCTCAGGGCAGCAGCGGCCCACCCCGGGCTGCCCATCCACTCCCTTTTGTGAGTGAAGGCCTGCAGCAGGGTTTGGGGCCAGTCCCACACCTGGGAGTCTAGTCTGGCCAGGAAACAGTGGATCCTCGCCTGGTGGTTGGCCTCGAACAGTCGACAGCCATAGACGGGACTGCCGTGCAGGAACAAGATACATGCAAGCATGCAAAACGGCACATCAGACTCCTGCCACAAGCAACCCAAGTCCATCGGATGACACCAGACAGGCATCACTGTCAACAGGTTGCCCCCTTCCATTTATTTCCGCCATGCTCATTGTTACAACAAAACCGTAACCCAGTTATCTACGTGACACTCAACCCGTGAGCATCTGGTGGACAAAAAGATTGAGGCGACTTCTTGGATTTCCCAAACTGTGTTAAAGCTGGCAGGGTCCCAGGCGAGCACTGTCCCTGTCCACACCTTTCCCGCCTGAAAGCGATGCTGGGCTTCGGGCCCGTCGGGCGAGAAGCCGCTTTACCCGGGCGGACAGCGACGAGCATCGGCGACGCCTGGGCCCGGGGCCCGCCCCCCAGCCCCGTCGGGGTCCCCACCCCGCGCTCTCCGCCGCCCGCGGCCATGTTGCCTCACAAAGGCCGAGCTCCGCGTCCCCTCCCCGCCCCGCCCCGCCCCGCGCCCGGGCCCGCAGCCTCGGTCCCGGAGGGAGGCGGGAGGGAAAGGCGCGCCCTCGCGCAGGCCGCAGCGCTCGCCCGCCCGCCCGCGGGGCGCCCCTCGCGCCCCGCACCTACCTGAGGCGCCCGCGGCCTGCCCGAGCCGCCCGCAGCCCGACCACAGCCGGGAGAGCCTCACCGCCGGGCTGCCGCAGCCATCTGGAAAGGCTGTCCAGGATCTCCGGTCGCCGGGACCCGCCTGTCGCGCCGGGCGAGCGGAGGGCGGGCCTTCGCAGCGTGTGGCCAATCCCCGCACGCGGCCGCCCCGCATTGGGGGAGCCGCGGAGCGGGCTGCGGAGGCCGCCAATCGTCGGCGCGCAGCGCGCGTGTCCGCGGTGCGCAGCCCAATAGCGCGGCCGCACAGGCGGGACCAGGCGCCCAGGCCGCGGTCGCGCTAACGGTCGCTGCCCGGGCGGGGCTCGCCGGACGGAGGGCGGTGGCCGCGGGGAGCGCCGGGAACGGGAAGCGCGGGGAATGCCGGGAGCAGGGGAGCGCGGGAAACGCGGGGAGCGCCGGGAACAAGGAGCGCAGAGTACGCCGGGATCTGACCGGCGGACGGGCCACCTTCCGTGGAGACCGCAAAAGACAACTGCACACACAGTCGTTACACAACGCGGTTAAAAGCATCCCTGTGGGCCGGGCGCGGTGGCTCACGCCTGTAATCCAAGCACTTTGGAGGCCAAGGCGGGCAGATCACCTGAGGGCGGGAGTTCAAGACCAGCCTGACCAACATGGTGAAACGCCGTCTTTGAAAAATAAAAAAATAAGAATAAATAAAAAATAAAAAAGCATCCCTGTATCAGACATAATCATTGACAAAGAACGCGTGTGCTCAACTGTCTAGCGCTTTTCCATTTGCTAATACTATAACAGGAGTTCCAAAACAGGGAGGGTTGGGCCAGGCGCAGTGGCTTGCGCCTGTAATCCCAGAGCTCAGGGAGGTCGAGGCAGGAGGACTACTTGAGCTGGCCCCACACAGTGAGACCCCCAGTATCTACAGTTTTTTTTTTTTTTTTTTGAGGCGGAGCCTCGCTCTGTCGCCCAGGCTGGAGTGCAGTGGCACGATCTCAGCTCCCTGCAACCTCCGCCTCCCGGGTTCAAGCGATTCTTCTGCCTCAGCCTCTCGAGTAGCTAGGGCTAGAGGCAAGCGCCACCACGCACGGCTAATTTTTTTATTTTTAGTAGAAACAGAGTTTCACCCTATTGGCCAGGCTGGTCTCGAACTCCTGATCTGGTGATCCGCCCGCCTCGGCCTCCCGAAGTGCTGGGATTAC